ACCGCGGATAATGATCTTGGAACAGCGTCTTTATGGGCTTTGCCCATTCAGCTTGGGCGTGAAGGAGATGATATGATGGTCAGGAGGGACGAGAAAAGGTGGAGATGCAGTTACTACGATGACCGTTGTGTGGGTCGAATTATTAAACGAATTCCTACTTGTTGTGGCTTGTATTCAAGCGCCTAATTAGTAATTAAAGCTGGCCGTGAGATAGAGAAGTAGAGGAACGAGTATGTACACAAGTAGATACAAGAGAGAAACGAGATCACAGAAATCAACGCCCACGGAACGGTTTGTAAACACGGCATGTTTACGAACCTTTTTTTTCTAAAGTGGTAAAGGTCTCTTAAGGGTTTTGTGAAACTAAGGGACGCGATCGATATTTAACAGCACCACCTGAAATCAACGCAACAATAACTCAAGTATACCTTATCATATATTTTATTTGGTATTGACTACATTGTTGTTTATGCGACGGCAGTTAAATCGTCAGTTTTAGGAGGATGTTTGGACTTCGTGCCAGACGCGTCCATACGGCGTGAACCGAAATGTTGTTATGACAAGATTAGTTTTGCCAAGTCTTCAATTTCCTTCGGTTAAAAAATAATAATAATAATAAGAGAATTAATTATTGGTGTTGTATTATTTATATTGGAGTAAAGGCGTGAAGTTAAACAGCGAACAAGGAAAAAAAAACTATTCCACGATATTTTGTTTACAACATCAACGTCCATCATAAATCCATTTTAATCGCTAAGGAAATTCATGAAGTGTTTATTAATAACTGCAATAATCCGATAGCATAAATCAAAAGGCTGTCTCTTCTCTGGGATCGTTGGATGCGCGTGTTTCGGTTATATACAGAGAGTGAGAGGTCATGAAAAAAAGAACCTAATTCATTTCAGCAATGGATTTTAGAAAGTATTTAATTTGATTTAATGGTTTCGTGCGATGATTGTGAGTCTCGTACCTTTTGTGTTGTGCGCCAAAAATCGGTGTCGGCCCGAAGCGCGGATACTTGACAATAAGTTTTATTGCCGCATTGTGTTTATTGAATACACGTTTTTTTTTTTTCTTTTTTTTGGTATTTATTTTTTGGGCCTGGTTCCGGTCTGATTGCCTTTGCTGTGGGTGGGTTTGGTTCTTCCTTTCTTTCTGCTTCTCGTCGAGGTTCTCACGTTATTTTTACAGCATGTTTCACGCAACCTCTTTTTTTTTCTACCTCTCTTTGTTTCTTGCCTGCACTTACAATCCCATCATCATCATCATTGAATCTTTGGATATGCACTTTAGAAGACGTACTTCTTATTTAAGATTTTAAACTCAAAGGACTTCTTAAGCTGTGGATGAATGAAATCTAGTAGTGCTTTCTTCGGACAAGCCGATGTGTGTTTACAACCATGATTGATAAGCGTTTTGAATGATCGACAAGGTCGACTAATTTATTCTTCGATTTATAAATAAGCTGATGTATTGTAACTTTATAATATTGTACGAGCGTCTCCGTCTGATAAGATAAATTGGAGCCGGAGAGGCGGCATCGTCCGAACCCGACATTAGGTAGTGTTTGAGATTCATGTGGTGCTGAAACAAACCGTGTTTATACACTTGCCAAGGGAATCCAGGATGAGAACAAAAAAAAAGAATAAGCACACACTCGACTGTAAACAAACCGAGTTTACCAAACGCCTTTATCTTATCATCCGTCTCCAAGTTTTATAGCGCATTAGAAATTTAGTAAGGCTACTCTCACCTTTCAAATAAAAAGACACCGTAACTAAGGTTTATACAATAATGTACTTTAGAGAAAAACCGGTTTTCAATTTCCAGTATTTCCAAGAAATATTAAGGTTTTAATACAACAACGACATTTTTTCAGTTTATTTAATATTTATAAAAATATGACAAAATATAAGAAGCAAAAAACAAGATATTTTGTATGTAATGAATATGAATATATCATCCCTATCATTATTATTTTGTTGCAGGCAAAGTTCAATGAACCATAGACTTTACAACGAGAACAGAATTAATTCAATTTAATATTAAATAATAAATTACACAATTTTATTGTCGTCCCGACGTTTATGCCTTCAGTTGCAAGAAAGTCGCAGTCAACGCGCGCGCATTTTATTTTATGCAACTCCACCAAAAACTAATCATTACTTCAAAAGAACTTGAATCATCCAGACGCAATTAAAATTTAATTACCTTTTTATTTTCGATCAATCCACCATAAATGAATATTTTCTAACTGCGAATGCGGAACTTTGATGAATTACGATTGTTTTTATATATATTTATTTAAACCGCTAGACGAGAAATTAAAATAAACGTTATTTTTTCCAAATGCTAATGCTTCCATTGTTAATATTTTCCAAACGCAGAAGAAACAAATAATATATATAAAAAAAAATCACCGCGCGTTTCATATGCAGATTCGTTCCCATAAAAAAGTTTATTTTTAACTGATATTCCTGAAGTTTTTAATGGCCTCACTAAATCACACTGAAAGCTACTAACTTTTATTTCCGCTCCGATACGTTATTATACCTGTAACTGTATACTATATATATTTTATTTATAAGATTATCTAACTTGTATCAGTATTCAGAGCCTTGCGCATTTTGCATGCGACATGGATCGATTTATAATTCTCCTTCGACTTTGTTTTGTATTAAGATGAAGAAATATCCCTTTTGTGAGAAGAGTGTCGAAACTTTCTCCTCGGGAATAAAATGGGAAGACAATGAGAAAGGAGGTAATGCACCGTGTGAAGCTTATCCGAATCTCGATGATTATTGACTCTGGCGCAACCGTTGATAGATAGTGAAGATACCATTTCCCATTGATATTTTCATTATTTTCGTTTGCTCTTCTAAGAAGTGGATTTGTCGGTATTGTATTGCGCGTTTAAATTTAGATGTATGACTTAATGCCGAAGAAGGACGTTGACCCGAATAAGAAAGTTTTCGAGTGAAACAAAAAAAATCGCGTTTCCAGGGAAATGACCAAATGGCTTCTTCGATTATCCTTCTTCAGCTCTCGGTGGTAGGAACATCTGTCATAGAAAGTGACAAATGGTTAGCAGCGTGTAAAAACTGTGTTTATTCTGGCGAGTGCTCACGGGCCAAGAGAAAATTCTGATAACAACTGAACAAATAAGCTAATCTGTTGCACTAAATACATACCTGAAATATGCCTGCCTCGGGCTTTGTTGATTGATTAATCGATCTTTCAAATATTCGGAGTATTTTCATTCGATTATTACAACGTGAGTCTGCACAAAATTATATAATCATCTACAAGTATGACCTTTAAAAAAAATCGATGAAATATTTAATTGTATGAATAGCAATAGTTTTGTTGTTACATCAATTCATTGCTATTTATTGTTGATTTGTTTTAACCATCTACTTTAGTTATAACAAAGAGTATTACATCATTTTCGAATATATTTTACAAAATATTTAAAATAGACATAAAAATTAATCAATGATTATCATATAACAGTAATTTATGCTAATAATTTTTTCGATCACAAATTTGAAAAAACAGTAATCAATGATTTATAACGTTTTTGATAATCAACTCACAGTTAAGAAAAACGTAAATGTAAATAGTAGATTGCAACACAAAAATAAACATTAATCTTTGATTAACTGCAATTTGTACTATTTGATAATAAATCAATGTTGTTTTGTATAAATTTAATAAATAATTTAACCAACTTAAACATCAAAATATTTTATTACATTAATTATTATAGTAAATATTTTAAAGTCAACGTTAAAGTGATAATTAACACTTAATTGTTAATATATCAATGCTCATTTTGTATTTAAAGGGTCAATTAAATTGTTTTTCTTTGTTTTAACTTGATCTTCAAATATAAATGTAACATAATATTCAATAATTAATTTAAATCATAATTTTTAATTGCCAATTAGATTTTAACGTCTGCGTCAAAATTAAACTTGAAGTTAAAAAACATGAGCATTCTGAAACGTCAAGTCAAAAAAATACACATACAACCTACATAAGCTAAATTTGATTAGATCTAATCTTCTTACGCAACACAATCCTTGAACGTAAATTAGTGTCAAAACCGCTCGAATTACTTACGCAAAGAAACAAGAATTCTTCATCGTAAAATCCATTTTCTGCTGATTATGCAATTGCTTTTGTTTCTTCCCTATATGAAAAAAAAATAAGAGCAGCCACCGCAGCGACGCCAATTGCTTCCTGCAACAATTTTCGAAGCCAGACGTTAATAATTAAGTCCGATAAATAAATTCCATCTGGCGCCGAAAATAATCACTTCCTTCTGCGAAACGTCGAAAGAAAAAAAAAGAAATAAAACAAGAGACTGTTGTATACAGTTACAAAACGCCGCTGAACGTGAACTTCGAACGCTCGGTGTTATATAGCAATAATAATAATAATTCTGACCTTGATCCGATAACCTTCGCGTGTTACAATTTGCGAACGATGGTGGTATTTTTGTTTCGCTTTATTGTTACTATTGTTGTTTATTTGTTGTTGTTGCTTTTGTTGTTAATTTTTTTTTTGGGAGTGTGTTGTGCCCCGTGGAGGGAAGCGGAATCTGAATCAATTGCGAACAATGCGATGCGAACCTTTCACGAACGTGTTCAACCTTCGGTTCTCCCTTTTGTCCAATCAATTTCTCTTCATTTCCAATCCCGGGATTTACACGTAAGCTCGGTTATAAACATACCGGAGGAGCGTTTCATGATATGCCAGGGCCCGCGGTGACGCAATCGGATTAATTAAGCGTTGCAAAATTGTAAATGAATATATTCGAAAATAAAAGAAAACGCGATGAAATATTATGTTGGATTCGTTCGAACGGGAAACCGCTTCGACGCTCATTAGACTCGCAATTACTGTAATTGAACCCTGGTTTCAAGTGTCCTTTTATTTTCGATAACGTTATTTGATTATTTATTTATTCCTTTCTCTTTTTTTTTTTATTGCAGATCTGGCTGCGATCAGGATGCTGTTGGACGTGGAGACTGGATCCGCGACGTGCCCAAGCTGTGGCATGCCCTTCGATAAGGGCAAGAAACGTCGTCTGATCGACAACTGCGGCCACGAGAGGTGCTATTCCTGCATGTTCACAAGCGAGGTCTGCCCTACGTGCAATCCTGAAGCCGCATCAAAGGACGTCGTCGACTATGCTAATGGTAAGAGACAGACACCTCATTCATCCATCCGTACACATCCTTATTAAGCGAAATGCAAATCTTCGCCATCCTAAGAGGCGAGGGAAAGGATAGAAAAACGAAAGGAGAAGACACGAAACAAAAGACATGATTCCGAAAGCTAATCTATTATGGGCTTTATGCCTTATTATTTATTACCTTTGTGTTCGAGGATTATAGAGGAAGCAATAACTGCCATGTTCGATATTGCAGCGGAGATCTTCAAGCGCGGTTTATCCTCCGCAACAACCACGACAATCCGTATTTATCACGGGGTCGTTGAGCCGTTTTTATTGCATAAGACGATAATGGATTTAAAAATAGTTTCGCCTTACATTTGTATGTATGCCTTCAATACAAAACGATTATTATATAAATCGCCAACTCGATATCAAATATCAACGTTAATTTTATCTCAACTACTTAAATAACTTGTTCATATATTTTCAAAACAATCCATGATAACCATAGTCTTTATTGAATTTGACAATTTTCTTCTGTTTATTGTGCAGTGAAATATATTACATATTAAAACTATTAGTTTTAACATTTTATAACTTTAACAGGTGCAGTGCTTAGACAGGATGACATATTTTAACAGTAAATCCACATTTACATAGGTTACATGACGATTTAACTTACGTAATTACCATATCTAATGTTATGCTTTTAAGGTTGGCGACCTTCATTTGCGTTGCATGACCTGCAAATGTGTAATATCAACCATAATAACATGAGATTATTATTTGCCAAATATGTTTATAAACATTTATTTATTTACTATTATGCAAAGTATAAAAGCAAAAATCAATAATTCATACATTTAATATAAATCAATTAATAATAACGTATATAGCACGTTTTATTAGTTTAACATTTACAGTATATTTTACCAAGTTTCATTCAAACTAAATAATGACTTAATTTGTACGAAACGTAAATTTTAATTTGTCTTTAATTGCATTAAACTAACATTAAACGAAATAACGTAAATATTTTGCAATGTTTTATAATAATTATAAAATTAAAAGTTTATGTGTAATTTGTAAATTAATTACTATTACAAAAGACAAACAATTTCACAAATCTCTTAAAAAATAACCTTTGGTTAATTGTCTAACCTTTGTCAAAATGAAATTACACAAATTATAATCATACGGAACGAAATTGTGTAGTATGTTTCTTTATATTTTACTCAGTTCTACGTTAATTTACAATAAACAAATCTATAAAATAAATTTACGAGCATTATTATTGTCATTTCCTTCTGGTAATAAAGTTTTTAAAACTTACGAAACAAATGGAAATTGGAATTTTAATGACCGTAACCAAGCAAATATTTAATCTTTATATTAGATAATTATGAATTATATAATTTATTTCAATTTAGATAAATTGTACGGAATAAACTTTTATATTTTTTATGACTTAATATAAATTAGATTAAAAGATAAAATGCAAATAGTATGCAGCGAATGGTCAAGAATGTTTGAGCATCGAATCAAGATAAAAAAATTAAAATAAACGAGTCCAAGAGATAAATTGAAGTGGAACAATAACGTCGAGTTTCGTAAATATATTTTCAAGCTTTCTTTCGCATTTGAATAAATTCCGTCCTATTTTCGTGAGAGCAACTTGAAACAATTCCAAATGCACGTCCAATTACTTGAAATATACAAAATTTCCCAGTTGCATTTACTATTCGCTTCGTATCATAATTCGTAGATGCTTTACCTCGTTATCCAACTGATTAAGAAACAAAAAAAAACTTGAATGAAGCCAACAGTAGTTTTCCCCGATTTCGCTCCATTCATTAAACAGTGTGTACGTGGCAAAGTCCGGTACTTTTCGAAGCGCAAATATTGGACATGCATGGATTCGTAAACATACGGATTTGAGTTTTCAATTAAGACAGAAGTGTTATATCCATGGACGCGACTGTGGATTGATGGTGACGTAAACTTAACCCAGAAACGCGGTAAATGAATGAAGGCTTCGGGTGTCATCATCGCATTCCGCGCGGATAAGGCGCCATTTGCGCAAATTGTTTTTAATAATGCGTAGACGTGTCCGGTTCAAGTGGGCATACGATTTATATACGATGAGCGTGGACTGCTCATAACTTTCAGTTAATTAGAACCGAGTTCTAGGAATGAACGCCATGATAGAAGACCAAGAAAGCGAGAGCGAAAAGAGGAGCCATAAAAAGATGAAATGGGGTGTCCCAATATATATATAAACTACACAGCACTAAGGTTGCTGTTATCTCATTTATCGCTGAAGAGATTTTTATGCCTCCATTATTCAGCTGCCTAACAATGCGAAGATAAAATTGAATTAATTATCTTACATCCTTGAAACACACGGAGAAAGTTTTTTTTTCTTCATTTTAGTTTGCTGCAGGTCATTAGTACTACGTACTCAAAGATGTACTGAAGAATCCCTGCAAACACGTCTCCCAGTCTACAAAGGCCTATTGATAGGCGGACATTTGCATTTGCGAAATACTAACCTACTTTAAATATTTATCGAAGATTATCAACTTTATCTCTTTATAAATATATTTATCTCTATTGAGTTTTCACACTTTGGACTCTTTGAATGTGCAGCAGCAAGAGTTTCCTTTTTCACAACTTCAGGTACAAGAAAAAATGATGAACTCATTGAATTTTAAATAATATAGAAAAATAAGACTCAATCAATGTTTATTTATTTAATAATGTTATATAACAGTAATATCATGGAAACAATGTCAATTTGACATTGTCAATGTAAACGCAAGTTAATTTTTCATATAAACGTAATGTAGACTTACAAAATTAAATGAACATAAGTTTTCATTACAAAAATGTTACTTCTTTTACTGTAATTTAATTGATTTTTGGTATTTAATTGAAAACCATTGATTTTCATTGAATGAAATAAATTGCTTTTTCTATTATTCTTTCCTTTCCAAACGACTCCAAATTATCTCCTAGTAAAATACACTCGAAAGTTAAAGGTGTCCTATTATATTCGTTTCGTCTCTTTCAATTTCGTTTAGAAATAAGAGTAAATGTATTTTTTTTTTCTTGAAGCTCACCAAAGTGTTAATTAATTTTTCTAGTGTTGCCACAGTCGAAGAAACTGGGCTGCTCGGAACTGCGAGGCTCGGAGATTACTTTGTACGGCGAAGTCACGTCGCCCCTTTATGAGAAATGCCAGCCGCAGAGCACGAGGAATAAGGTCAAGACGAACGGACATTTCACTTCTTTCATACAAGTAAGTTTTCTTCCGATATTCTCAAGAAGTCGTAGATAAAAAAAAAGAAGAAGGCAGATACAAACACCGCAAAAATATAAAATGGAACACGTCCGGTAAATTCGTGTTCTGTTTACATTTTAGAGGTGTTTATGTCGTCGACGTGGAATACATTATCAGGGCGAAACTCACCCTCCGAGGACACAGGAATGATAATGTATTCGACTGGCGACGGTCGATGTTAAAATTGAATTTAAATAGGGCCCCACCGTGGATGGAACACGTGGAAAGCTATTAATTCCATCGGCGAATACACCGATGCATCTATAGATGCTACAACAATTTACTGCGTTTTTATGTAAATCCATTCACTGTTTTACACGCAATTCGAAGTGCGTCAGTCTTAGGCCAACACAAATTATCATCGAAATCATGGTAATGATAGTCCAAACTGTAAACGTCTAATCGTTAATAAAAACTTAATTAACAATCGCTTTTAATAACGTTATTAGCATCCAAGGTAATTAAATTATATATTCAAAACGCTGTTAACAATCGATGGCGTTCTGTAAACACTGCCTAGGTTTTACCTCTCGTACTTAAATTATTCTAATTAGGCGGTGACATTAAGTCGAGAACTAATCGCGCTTTGTATATTCATGACTTTATCCAACTTAACGAGTCGTTAGTTCTTTCATTTTTTTTGTATTTGTGACAGTACGTTCATTCTTTAAACCTGGCTTTAAGTGTCAACGTACCCACAATATGCATATATTATCTAAAGTTTTTTAAATCGTTGGATTTAATTTATGAATTGCAAGTTGGAATTATTAGTCTTTCTTCAAATTTTGGACAGCACGTTAATTCTTTAAACTTTTAGATATCAACGTGGTCATCAAATGAATAGAGATTACATATTTTTTGTGTGTGGAATTTTAAATAAGTGAATCCACTTTAGGAATTGCAAGTTTCCAATAATTGTAATTATCGGTTGCGTTAATCATCCAAGACGGAAACCGATTTCCAATTAACATTTCGAACTTAATTACGGCCATTTTGATTTATTATTGTCTTATGGGAAAACGTTTAATGCGCTCCGGGATTTGTTCCCTCCGCATATTCGAGCGTAATGTAAATTCAACGTGATTGAAATTACGTATGGGAAAACTACTAGCGTTTTCGAATAATTAAATTTTCAAAGGGAGTTAACTGCACGTACGGAATACAAGAAAAATTAATTACGAAGAAGTTGTATTTCGTATTTGCTTTGATTGAAGCGGTGAGGGATTGCGTGTAACTAGTTCTGCACTCATGCTAAACTACTAAACTGAACCGATCATCAGGTGCTTTTCTTTTTTCTTCTTTTGTTGCGTCGACGTTGCGTTACATCACTAGAATTTCATATTGCGAGACATCTAAATTTATGATGCATAGCGCGAGTGCCATCTCAAATGGTTTAACAAATGTTACGAGCAGCTTCTGTGCAGGCTTCGATCCTTAAAGGCAGACAGGAATGATTTATTAGTGGAGAATATGACGTGCCCGAGAGGAGACGGGTACAAGGAAAAATAACGAAGAAACACAATCGTCTGCCGAAGGAAAGACTATCATTAAACTCCATGTTAATACACTCTTCGACAATTGTCTCTCAGCTCGAAACAATATCTCGGATTGTTCTCGTATTACTAAATCACTCATTAAACATGATGGATTTGTGGACGTTTACACGGGGAACGAATTTTTGTATTTTCTTTGAGGATTATAAAAACGAAACGCTTTTAACACTCTCACCTTTTTGACCCGTGTTCCGATTTCTCAATATTTATTTACGTTGACGGTGTTTAAGTATTCGAAAAAAAAAATTAATTAAATTTAAATACGAATCCTGTTTGGGCTGGTCAAAGGCCAGATGAGTCTTCGAAACCACTCTTAAATCCGAAGTGTGTTTATTTTATTCCAATTTTCTCGTTGTACGGTTTCATTATTGTGATGATGAAAAAAAAGAGGAGTATAAATAAATTGACTTGATCCGATTAAGAGAGCGGTGGCCGTTCGTGAACGGCAGCTTTAAGATCCTTCCATCCAGTGAACTGGGATGTCGGGATCCTCTTAATTATGAGTTCTCTCTTTTCTTTCGGGCTGCCTTCTCTTCCGCATTGAATTTGGGTCCGCATCCCTCCTTTTGTTGGAATTACATTTTATGTACGAGTATATATCCGTCCGTGGGCTGCGCTTTTTTCCTCGTTCTTCCTTCTCCTACTATTATCATTGTGAGCAATATGTTGTGTCTGTAAGAGGAAGTTGTTTCAAATTAACAGCTTCCTGCAGCCGTCGATGAGACGACTCGAGGTCCATTCATGCGGAATTTACTGTTACACAAGTTCAATGGATCAATTTCGTCTCACAGTCTCTCAGAGATTCTCATCTTGTTGCATTTATTTTGTTTTAATCGATTTCCAATCAATTAATTGAACAGCGCAAACCGTAATAATAATAGTGATGATAATAATAATGAACATAGTTGTTTCAGTATTTGTATATTTATTTATGATGATGCTTTATAATTTTAATTGATTGTTTATATAATGGGAATGTTGCTATTTGTGTGCAGAATCGTCAAAGCCCGGCGGTGGAGTCTGGACATCCGGAGAAATTGCCGAAGACCAGACCATCGAATCCTCGGGTAAGGCCATCGTCGGAGAGAGAGAACCACCAGCAGAACGTGATGACTCAGAGCTGTCCGACGCCTCCCCAATCGCGGAGGAGATACTTCCTGAGCCCTAAAGCCCTCCGCAGTCCGTTCGGGCAACGGGCTGCCAGCAGACAGACATCTGGAGACTCAGCTTTCTCAGGTGAGTGCGTCTAGACTGGTGGGTAGAAGACGGAGCCTCCTCTCCTCTCGCTGGTGAGCCTCGCGCTTCCATCGGGTGGATGGATAATTTGCAGAGAGCTCTTTTGCCGTTTGCCTCTCTCGCGTGCGAACAGCCAGCAGCAGCAGAGGTGAGGAGGAGCGAAGAGTTGAGAAAAGAAGGAACGCGAAGGAAGGTTCGTTGCACTCGCCGGCGACTTGCATAAAAGCGGAATAGAAAGAAGCAGCGCAAAACCTAAATAAATATCACACCTTAATGCATTTCATGAACTTAATTCGCCTGGTCGTAGCAAACCTTGATGATGATGACATTTCCTATTTACGTTTAGAACGAATGACTTCATCGACCACATCGACGGACAGCAAATATTGGCCTAGCACCTTACTAGGAAAAATTCGCTCCTTATGGTCGGCTGGTAGTTCCAGTGCTAGCACTGGGCTCAATCAACTCATATCAGGCAGGCATACACCATAAGATTTGCAACTGTTTTCTTTGTTTTCGTTGTATTTGCGTTTGTTATTTTTTTGTTGTTGTATATTTTGTGCAATTTTCACGCACGCATTGTTCTCTGCATGACCACTTACAAAACCAGAAACCCCCTAATTACACTAGCATGCACTTGCGTTCATTTCCAACTTACAAATTAGTAGATTTATCAGCGTCAAGCGCGCCGCCCTATTTACTTCACGTCCCGCCCGCAACATTGATTTATGGTATAACCATTACGTATTAGCCCAATTTGCAATTGTAATTTTTAAAATTAAATCTAATCAGTGAGAAAACCTAAACTAATCTAATCGAATTTAATCGATTTACAAGTTTCAGTGAGTATTTTAGTGCGATGATGCGAGTGCTGACATTATAAGAAATTTCAAATTATAACAACAATTTCTTTGTTCAATTATAGATGATGATTGCGGTAGCGAGAAGCAACTGGCCAAAAAGTCGTCAGATGACATGTACATGCGTCTGGGATTATTGCTAGGAGACAACGCAACTCGGAGGTCGAAGAGGCTGATGCCTTCCTCGAGAGCCACTCATGAGTCGTGCTCATCCCTGGCCAGTTACGACACCGGGGCTGTGATGTCTACCAACACGAGTCCGGTATCCACCTTGACTGGAAGCTCCGAAGATCAGCATAGAAACAATGCAGGTTCAGACAGCGTGGGCTCTTTAATGTCCATGTCCGTTTCCGGTCAGAGCAATTGCAGCTCGAGTCCAATTAGCAGGAGACATAGTGTGACAAGTAAGTTATTTTATTTAACTGTTTGCAATTGTTGTTGTTAATGGGTTTGTTCGTTCTTCCTGCAGCTACCCAAGGTGGACAGGTCGAGGATTTGTCGATGTTTCATTCGCGTCGGAATTACGCCAGGAGGTCGGCGAGAAATGGCACGGTGAAAGGTCCGATCGATCCGAAAATTAGATTCGCTCAGTACCGGACGCCTCAATTAACGCTGAAGCCTTTGTTCTTCGAAGTACCGTTACAAGAACCCGATCCCTTATTCTTGGGTCGCCAGTGGCTGGTGAAAGAAATTGGAGAGATCGTCGGCCACTCATCGCCCGGTGTCCTTCTGATGGGCAATCCGGGAACCGGTAAAACTGCCCTCATCCTGCAGCTCGTCGAGTACAGTTGCTTCGGACGCAGGATGAGTCCGCAAAGTATCCATTCCCCTGACAGATCTCGCAGTCCGTTGTACTGCCAAATACCCGAAACCACAACAGAGAGGATCAAGAGTCTGGCAAACCGCGTCGTCGCATACCATTTCTGCCAAGCTGACAACAACAACAGCTGTTTAGTACCTGATTTTATTCATTCGATCGCGGCTCAATTGTGCCAAGCGCCGCAGCTCTCAGCTTACCGCGATCACCTTTTAAGCGAAACCCACCTCCAAGGAGCGTTATCTTTAAAAGAATGCATCGCTAACCCAGATTTGGCCTTCAACCGTGGAATTCTTGAGCCTCTGGCGAGCTTACGCCGTGTCGGGAAAATCGATGGTAGCAACTGCGTTATTTTGGTGGACGGTCTGTGCGAGGCGGAATACCATCGACCGGACCATGGGGACACAATCACCTCCTTCTTGGTAAAGCACATGCCGCAGTTTCCATCCTGGCTGAAAATAGTTGCGACCATTCGCACTCAACTACACGAAATTTCAAAACAACTTCCATTCACAAGGATCTCATTAGACAATATTAACACGAACGAGAATCTTCAGAAGGATATTTTGGAGTTCATAAACTACCGCGTCAAGAATAGCTCCAGTATTCAGACGAACATTACTGCTAGCGGTGTAATAGAACATCTCTCGCAAACCAAATTCGCACAACACCTACTCACCCTCAGTCAAGGCTCCTTCCTCTTCGCCAAACTTACCTTAGACCTAATCGAAAGACGACACTTGGTCGTGAAATCCTCAGGCTACAAAGTTCTTCCAGTTTCTCTTGCCCAAATATACATGCTTCACTTCAATCTTCGCTTCCCAACACTCAGATCCTTTGAGAAAGTCACCCACATACTAAGCGTTTGCTTAGCAGCGTTATATCCTTTGACTTTGCTAGAAATTTATTACTCCGTAAATTCTCTCTTGGTGGACACATTCTTGCCGTGGGACGAGTTTCTGCAGCGGTTCAAATTGTTATCAGGCTTCTTGGTGAAGCGGTTGGATAACACCTACATGTTTTTCCATCCCTCGTTCAGGGAGTGGCTAATTAGGCGGGAAGATAATGAAAACAGCAAATTCCTTTGCGACCTGAGAGCCGGACATTGTGCAATAGCATTTAGACTGTCGAGAGTTCAAGCACCCTTGGACGCTGAAAAGACTTTGGAATTGGGTCATCACATATTGAAGGCTCACGTCTACAGGAATATGACGCTCGGCGATATAAGCTCCAGAGATTTGCAGGCCCAATGGATCATGGACAGTTCAATGGACGTCTCGGATGCGGTATGCAATCTGAGAAATGTCTACAGCCCGAATGTAAAAGTATCCAGGCTCTTGCTTCTGGCAGGAGCTTCGGCCAACCACGTCACGGACTTCTTGGGCAATGCACCGATCCTATGCATGTACGCAAACGAGGGTATTGTTCCGATGATCTCGCTTCTTCTCGAATTTGGAGCGGACGTTGAGCTGTGCAACAGTCAAGGATGTACTGCCCTGTCTCTGGCTTCGGCCAAAGGGCACTGCGATGTCGTGAGGAATTTGATCGCCGCTGGAGCGAGCCCTGGACACGCGGATACCGCTGGTTATTGCCCCTTGGTGCACGCCGCTCGGAACGGATGCTTGAACGTCGTCGGTTACCTGCTGGCATGTGATTGGTTGCTGAAGACTCCCGAAGACATCGAGCTTCCAGATGCAGCCCAGCAAGCGCTAATTGCCGCCGCGGGTCAAGGTCATCACGAGATTGTGGAGTATTTATTAGACATGGCTGAAGTTAATGTGGATTCTTGCTGCTCGTTAACCGGGGAAACAGCACTAACAGTCGCAGCTTCTAATGGCTGTGTCTCCGTGGTCAATGCCTTAATCAACCGAGGGGCCAGCATTTCCGTCACGAATAAAAAGGAAATGCCACCTCTGCTGTTAGCCGTCAAAGAAGGTCATTGGGCCATCGCGGAAAGGCTTATCCAAAACCACGCAGCTCTCGAACAATGTGACAACAATGGTAGGAGCCCATTGATGTTGGCCGCCTCCGAAGGACACGTCGGACTAATCGAATTACTTCTAGACAGAGGTAAACTATTACATTACATTTGCTTTCAATCATACTAATTAATTTTTTTATTTAATTAGGTACTAATTTGGAGAAGCAGGACCAAGAAGGTCTAACGGCTCTTTGTTGGGCGTGCCTGAGGGGCAAAAAGCAAGCTACACAATGCTTGCTTGACCGAGGAGCTCTGTTAAACCACTCCGATAAAACCGGAAGGACTCCTTTGGATTTAGCAGCATTCCAGGGTAATCCTTCCATCGTGCAACTTCTTTTAGAAAGAGGCGCTCTCATCGAACATGTCGATATCAACGGGATGCGTCCACTCGACAGAGCCATCGCTTGTAAAAATATCAATGTAGTTCAATGTTTCCTCAAGAAAGGAGCAAAATTGGGCCCAGCCACCTGGGCCATGGCGCAAGGAAAGCCAGATATAATGTAAGTTAATCAGAACTAAATAGAATCTTAAAACGTAACTAATCATCTCTATACTCTAGGCTTATCCTGCTCAATAAACTCCTGGAAGATGGAAACCTGCTCTACAGAAAGAGCAGATTGAAGGAAGCCGCCCATAGATACCAATATGCTTTGAAAAAGTTCCCTTCGGAAGACTTGACTATCAACAACATAAAGTTCAAGCAATTGAAAATCAACTTTTTGCTCAATCATTCGCGATGCAAACGGAAATTAAAGGTAAATCCACCGATATTAGTATATATTCAACTTACTTATCCTTATTTATTTATCTCAGGAATACGAAGAGTCCATCGAACTGGCTAACGAAGCCCTGAAAATGAAATCTGATTCGTACGAAGCACATTACGCTAGGGCCAAAGCGCGATTGGATTTGGGCTTGAACGAGCAAGCATTAGGCGACGTCTGCGAAGCCCTTCGTTTGGTGTCACCGCAAAATGGAGAAGTGCGTAAAGTCCTTTTACACTTAAGGGAGGACATCTCTTCGAGCATGTCTACAAACAAGAACAGGATAATGAATAACAAGGACTTTGCCATTTCCGTGGACACGCTGCACGAGTAATAACTAAAATAAGCACAGCATAAAATCAAGGGAAGAAAAAGAAGACTGCATTTTATTTTGTATAGTTAAAGAAGAGAGACGAGGGAGAGAGCGACATATAAGCATGCAAGAAAAAACATATTCGTACTGCAATTATTTTTTTTTTTTTGTAAATAAGTTTTTATTTTATTTAATTTATTTGTTGACTTTATTGATTATCATTCCTTATACGGATGGAACATCCTGTTATTATTTGTTATACTGCTTATTATAATTTAGTAGCTTGCCATTTGTTTGGTGGAAGTTTTTTTTCTTTCTTTTTCTTATTAGCAAATTGTTCACTTTCATTTTCTCTTTTCATTTTATTTTTTCCGTTTGTTTCACGATTTCAACATATTTGGTATAGAAGAAGACGAGAGCGAAGATTTTTTTCTAATTTATTTGTATTTAATACTTGACTAGAGTTCTATTTATATCTCCTAATTTAATAATTGTGCTAAGCATAAGAGTGAAATATTATATACACATGCATATTACTATATCTTATATTATATACATTATATATTCCAGGCTGAACTGGATACAGTTGTGAACTGTGTGCGTAACTATATACTTTTTTTTTTGTTTTCAATTTGTACTCCTGTGTGAATTCGTATACCTTATTTAAGGAAAAGAAATTATTTAAAAAAAATGAAAATGTTTTATGTAACCCTAAGAAAGGTGCTGAAATTATTATTAAACAATACTTTGTATAACGAGAAATAAAGAAAATTATTATTATTATCTTGGTTTATTAAACATTCATCTTAGTAGATTCTAAAAGTGTATAAAAAATAATCATTCAAAGTATTTTGACTCCAATTAGAAAATACATAAAATAAGTATAAGCATTTCAAAGGAAATTTTTGTTTAATTACAACTTTTTTATTAGAAATAATTTATATTTGCTTGGCATATCAAAAGAAGATATAGAAACCTGTCCTGAAAGGTATACATAAAAAGTTGGGAACCTCTGGATGGAAGTTTACATATACTTCAAAAAGTCTCTAATAGTTGGCGCTTCATGTAACCTAGTTTTACTACAGTAACTTAGATTACTCTTTATACTGTAGTATTAGCTTGCCTATATAACAACATAAAGTACTATAAATGTAAACAAACCAAAAACTAAAATGAAACGTAAAAGTGAAAAGTCATCCAAGCACAAGAAGAAAAGGAAGTACTCTTCCTCGTCCTCATCCACATCAACTACATCCTCGAGTTCGTCAAGCTCATCCGATTCGGACTCTTTATCCAGTCATTCCGAAAATGATTTCAAAAGGAAAAAAATGCGTAAGAAATCCCGACGTTCCTCTACCTCATCTTCATCCGAAGAGGAGATCAAGAAGAAAAAGTTGAAGAAGAAAAAGTTAAAGCTCAAGTTAAAGCAAAAAAAACCTGAGCAGAAGGACTTGAAAACAGAGGACAAGAAAGAAGATGAACCTGAAGAATCAGTTGACATTCCTTTATCTTTGATGTCCAAGCCTATGGCACCAATGACTAAAGAGCAATGGGATAAACAACAAAGTGTTGTTCGGAAAGTTTATGATGAATCAACTGGTCGACACAGGTATGAAGCCTATGATGTTAAATATTGAATTATCTATTTATAATCTTTTTTTTTGTAGGTTGATTAAAGGCGATGGAGAAGTTATTGAGGAAATTGTAAGCAAGGATAGGCATAAGGCTATCAACCAACAGGCTACAAGAGGAGATGGAAACTATTTCCAGCAAAATGTACATAAGAAAATTTGATTTGTTTGACACTAACTGCACTATTTTATGATCTTAAATTACTTTTCTGTTATTATTACAATTGTAGGTGTATAGATGGTTCTATACCCATTGCATATGTAATTCATTAAACCTGCTATAGAGGCGCTTTTGTTATGAGCTTGTCAAACATTGATGTATTGATCTGCTGACTGGTGCTGACTTTACAATTCCAATCAATTCCAATTTCCACAAAATTAATAAATAAAATGTTGTCTACAGGTAAATCTAAAATATTCAATTCACTAATATTGTTATTTTAACCTCTTAATACAATGTAAAAGGTTTATATATGCGATAATAAACTAATAACTTGGTAATATGAAGTCATTTTTAACATTCTTATTTGTAGTTGTAGAATTTTTCGAAAATTATGGTTGGTTTATATTTGGAATTGGGGTGGTTATTGCTTTCTCTCTGAAGAACCTTCAGCCTAGGATTACAGCTTGGAGGAAGAAGGTGGAAGATGATGAGTATGCAGCGAAATATCATAAGAGTGAGTATGCATTACATACTAACAAATGTGTGGGTTGATTAATGTTTTTATCATTTAGACCCAGATTTGATAGCTGCAAGACTTGCAGCCCAAGAGGCACATAGAAGGAAAATGCAAGAAGAGCATGACAGAGCTGCTGAAGTAAATAGGCTGAAAATGGAAGAGGTATTATTTTGTATTTAAGAAACATATGCAAAATGTGACTTTCTCTTATAACTGTAGAAGGAGAAGAAGAAAAGGGAGGAGTTTTTGGAGAAGCAAAGTGGATCTGGTTCAGGATCAAAATTGGGTTTCAAGTCAGGTATATAGTAATAGTTAAATAATAAATTACACTGTTTAAACTATTGATTCATGTTGTAGACTACAATCCTTTGATGGGTGACACTTCCAGAGGATATAGAGCTACAAAGAAGAGCCCATGTGGTGGAGGTGGATGTGGCAAATAAATATTATCAAAGTACTTATTATAACTAATGCATTTATTAAACTAAGTTATTATTAACTTGTGTTTATAACAGTAAAGATATTTTATTTTTTCCATTCAAGTTACACAATTTTCTTTTGTTTTCTATTTGTATAAAAAGCATTATATATATTTTTTATATAGAAATTTAATAGATCTGAATGTTTATTAATAATTTTTATTAAACTTTTATTTTATCAGTGTTCATTAACAAATAAAGGAATTCTAATAATATTTGATGAGAATTGTTATTGTCCCATAGCTTTATAAAAATCGATATTAACTAACAATTACCATTTTTAATGAAGGCCAAAGACAATTTTCAACAATAAAACCTTATATAATGTTGCATCTACTTCACTACAATTTATATCATAGAGTCCTATTACGATAGAGGACTGCGTATGCAGAATTATTCATAATTATTCCAATATTTCAATAGCATTTACATAAATATGTTCTACCAAGCAAATTCCATAATTTTGACGTTGACATGTAATTATTCTTGTATAGTATTGTTACATTTTGTTTATTGGTGAATTTGCTACTTTCCTTCCTGGAAAGACTTACTACTAGGAGTACTTCCCTCCAATTTTTCAATAAAAAATATTATTTAATTTTTACTAACATTAGACAACTGAATCACACAATTTCGTCAACTGAATCAACATCGGAAGGTATGGCCTATCGAGATTCATCCGTTGACTTACCCACCAAATTAAATGTTAATTCCTCTTTCCTGTACATTTTCTAGAAAATTACAATAACGCCCCACTAGGCACGTTCAAAAGGTGGATCAATGTGTGTCCCACCGCCTCTCAAAGAGTTAAACAGAACATAGAAATCTAGAAACTCATTACTAAGGTAACCTGTTAAATATTACAGAGATTTATGATAATATCAGGTTTTCGCGTTTGTGATAACGTATTATGTCCGAGGTTCGTATAGTTTTCTTTAATTTTTAAAATATAATTTTATAGTATTTACTTAAACGTGTTTAATGGAATAATTACATAATTTTGACTTTAACGTACAAATTTAATGACCGTTTGGCATAATTTAGGGCCAATCAAAATTGTAAATGAATAGAAAATGAAAGTTTAGAAACTCATTGCTAAGGTAACCGCTTATATTTAAAGTCTTTAATGACATTTAACACGTTTTATTATAAAGTTTTATAAAGATGTGGTGCGATAATGATTGACATAACGTATTGTTTCCGAAGTTCCTGAATTGGATGCTATCCAAGACCACCTGCACGTAGAAGTCAATTAATAGATTCTAGGACGTTGCACTCTGCATGTTAATTCACCACGAGTATAGAATATGGTAAGAAGCCACATAATGAGCACGTCTCAAATTTTCTTTTTCCTTTCCTCGATTTTCTCAGTACGACGCACAAAACAATAAACAAACATTGTTTTTGCGTACTGGACTGACATTTTTATAAAATTTTCAAATTACACGCGATATCAACCGATTAAGGTGGCCTCCTTACATGCAATTCTTAAAATTGGGCTTGACCTACAAACGTAGGTACCCGATGTACACGTTCACGTCCGCAGGACACCTAAAACCGCATCCTGTCCGTGCCGCCATCCAGAACCTTAGTATCGCCCTGAAGAGATGGCGCGAGTTGCTGCCGCGCGGTATTTTTTTTCCTCACCTGCCTACCTTTACCGGTTTTGAAAACGAAACAAACGCGAGGGACGCGATAAACCTGTTTCTGTACTGCTCATTGGCGGAGTCCTGGACATGTGACCATGACGGCGGCGGCCACGGCGATCGCGGCATGTCCGTTCCTATTTGTTGTTCCTCTTTCACCGTGGAATAGATCAGAAGGAGATTATCGCGTCCCATGTGCAATCGCCAGTTCGCGCGAATTTTCGGAAACCGGAAGTAACACCCTTGACGACAGTCCTCCTTTTCCCACGTGCATATATCAAAACAAAAACAGAGATTTCAACTCGTAAGTTCCAAGCACTTTTGAATTTTTAAGCAAACTTCGTTGTCACGACAACAAGTGGTATTTCTGACCATCTCCTGAAAACTGAACTCAATCTCATATACTTCAATTGAATTCAATTAAAGCTTTTTATTTACACGTTTTATAGGAATTTCTTCCCAAATTTTGTGTACATGCTCATGTATTGAACTATTAAACCATTTTATAATAATATTAGATCTTTATGATAATATATCAGTTAAAGTATAACTTCCTATAAAATCATAAACAGTTTAAGTAGTACTATAAACTACAAAAAAAAAACATAATATAACAAGAAAATAAAAAAAAAACAAATTGATCTGCTACAAAGGGCTATTGTCTATAGGTAAATATATTATATTATGTTAAAAATCCCTTTTAAATATTAAATAATGTACATAGTTGTTTTATATTTAATTTAGTAATATTACCTAACTGTAATTTGTATATGTTACCGGTCATCTTTCTAAAACAATAAGTAACGTAACTTGCTTAACTTTTGCAATAAAAAATGGAATCCATCGAATCCAATGATACAAATTGCAAATAATTTCTGTTTATTTTATATCTCTCAATTTATTTAATAAATGAATTAACAATGATTCAATGAAAATTGTATATTAAAGAGATAAATCATCTGTTATATTTAATATATTTGAATAAAATATATTTTTTGATTTAATTTATATATAGATAGCAATATTTTTAAATGTTTTTTCTTGAAATTTATATAATTTTTCCCACAGAGAACCACGTAAAACAAAAACGATTCCAATTATATCATAATTTTATATTAATGTTTCATATGGACATCCACATGTCATAATAGTATTATGCAATATTGATACTAAGTAATAGGAAATAATAAACATATAACTTTGTATTGCTTTTGTTCAATTATATAATTATAGTAACTTTTTAACGAATTTATCTTTTTTAAATTACGTAACATTCTTAATGCTATAAGCTGTTACATATTTAACATGATTATGTATTGTTCTCTAATATTTTGTTGCAAGAATAAGTTTACCACGTTTTATAACAAAGCGCTAGAACGTTACTGCATATTTTAAAGATAATAACAATGCATTACTTACGTAAACTGTATCGATTTGTTGGAAGGTGTGTAATTTATTGTCTGTTGTATTTAATAGTCATTGCTCATATAGATAGAAATAACATTTAAACATTCATCAATGAATCATTCATAGTCATTCTGTTTAAAGAAAGTCGATTTATTTATTATTTTACATCCTTTTAAAGATAATGTGCGTGCATCAAAATTAAATATCGTGATTAATTTATTTAAAGAACAAATATTTTTTTATGATAATGACTTTTGTGTAAATGTATTTAATTCTATTTAAGGAAAATATATTTATTTTTTCCAATTATTACTTTGTTTGACCAGTAAATATTCTTCTACTGTTTCATTTTTTTCTATTGTCATGATCCTCCTCAGACTTTTCGATTGGAATCTAATTTCTACGCACGACTTGTTTTCTTCTTCGATGTAATTTTATATGACATCAAATATATTTTGTTCATAAATTTGAAGTTTATTTTCTATCGAATAGCATTTTTTTTACGTAACCAACTATAGTATTTTGTCACTTATTTCTTAATTTCAACTTTTATTTTGTCTATGCTAATTCCAATATAACATAAATATTATAATTGAAAAACTTCTATACATTAATGATTGTTAAATTTTATTGCTTTCTGATTAACTGAGTTTAGAAAATGCTATAAATACATAAAATTTAATTATTTTAAATCATTTCAAAGAAAACTTATTATTGGTATATTTTTTGCTATATTTCTTCACTTCATCTAACCATGTTTATATACAATTATTATAAAGAAGTAAATATACTTTAATGGTATTTTTTTCGTTCTTTTTTGATCCCGGGAAACGGGAAATTAGTATTTCGAGAATCCTGGGAAATTATAGTAAGTTAAATTTGTAAAAAAGGTTTTAAATAATGTTAAAATTCGTTATTTTTTAAATCCTTTTTAACATTGATTGGATTTACTTGAGGATTTGTAACAACCTAACCAAAGTAAAAGCCGTTTCTATCTGCTTGAAATAAGTGCAATCAGGATCCCGGGAAACGAGAAATTTTAAATTAATATCCCGAGAATCCCGTGAAATTATAGTAAGTTAAATTTGTAAAAAAGGTAAACTTTACTATGTTTGAAATAAACTGAAATTGCTATTCCATTCTTTCCATCCAGTAAATAATGATAAAATTCGTTATTTTTGTAGTTCCCTTTAACATTGATTGGATTTACTTGAGGATTTGTAACAACCTAACATAAGTAAAAGCCGCTTCTATTTGCTTGAAATAAGTGCAATCATGATCCTGGGAAACGAGAATTTTTAAATTAATATCACGAGATTTCCGTGAAAGTATAATAAGTTAAATTTGTAAAAAAAAGGTAAACTTTACTATGTTTTAAATAAACTGAAATTGGTATTGCATTCTTTCCATCCGGTAAATAATGATAAAATTTGTTATTTTTGTAGTCCCTTTTAACATTGATTGGATTTACTTGAGGATTTTTAACAACCTAACATAAGTAAAAGCCGCTTCTATCTGTTTGAAATAAGTATAATCATGATTATTATCATTAAGCTACAATTAAATTACTTTTATAACTCATTTTTTTTACGACTTATTGTTATTAGCACCAAATGAAATAATTGGATATGATTCACAAGCATTGTGACACGACCCATAGTAACAAACAAAAAAAATACGAAATGCGTGCAATCGCCACGTAAATATTGTTATTGTTGAATTTGATGTCGTTCCATTTTCTTAGCCAATAAAAGGAAAGCAGTTTGCGGCCAGGAATATTAACCTCGGAAATAATCTGTACGTCGTGCACTTTCCGTGATATGGAAATAAACCGTGTTGCTTCCTCAATCAAAAAATAAACAATAACGCGCTCCACTTGCTTACGTTTCATTCGGTTAATTGGCGAGACTCGCCCACTACAACGCGTTAAAAATAACAACATTAAAAACGCTCTTATGATTTAAGTCACCTCAATATAATTCTGACTAACTTAGTGCTCTATTTTTAAGCTGATTACATTTCTACACGAATGTTTGAATGAATAAGATATTTTATCAAAAATAAAAAGGTTACTCACCGCATATTTCAGTCATGAAATATTATCAATTAGTTGTTTTTTTTACTATATTAATCCAAATACAGTAATAACTCGCATAGTGCGGGTAATATCCCGGACTGTTCGAAATCGGACTAATCGAGGAATGAAATATATAGAAAAATAAACAGCACAAAAAGATACTTGATTGGCAAGGGTAATCGGTTCTGCCAACATCCCGGACTGTTTAAAACCGGACTAATCGAGAAATTAAATACATACAAAAGCAGAATTTTTATTTTGCAGTTAATTTATAATAAATTTATATTATTTTATACTTTAATTAGTTGCTTCATATATTTCTAGTTAAGGATTTTTTTATTCAATGTCATGTACATTTTATTGTAACTTTTTCTATATTTTTAAAATAAGAAACGGCAAAGGTACGAGTTAAAATTTAATTTCGTCGATATTGCATGAAATAACTAGATAAAGTACAAAAAATGTAAATATTTCACACTTTAACTATGTAATAATAAAAGATTATACGTTTTAGCGGTTTCATATCAAATTGTTATTACATTTATTAAAATATTTATACCGCAAACCAATTTTATCAAATAAAAACATATTTGTTAAAAGTAGGATTATATCAGCTGGTAAATATTTTACTTAAACTACATTGTGTTTTCATCAAGTATAAAGGTCATCAGGATGTTTAATATATTGAATGAAGATGATTACGTATTTTGTTAAGTTCGTTCCGTCTTCTAAGATATGCGTGAGTATTACTATTTACAACGATAATAATCTGAGACTTCATTGCTTGTAGTTTATTTATGGTATTGCTACGTTCTTTTGTATCTGTACGTCTGTCTGTTTCTGACTTCAAAGAGTCACCTTGACATTGATTGATTACACCACAATTGCATAAATAGTAATTAGTCTCTTGGAAAAGAAGTATTAATTATGCACGATTAGCATATTGAGAATAAATTTAGATCAGTATAGTCAGCACTCATTTAAAATATTTTCCTAAAACGTACATTCATTATTTAAACAGACTGTATGAACGTACATTGATTTGAAAATCATGTACGCTTCTGTGAACTTTTTGTTGTATGTACGAACCAACAAATCGTAAACACAGATTTCTAACGTAAATTCGCTGTACAGACTCCAATTAATATCCTGTATATTTCTAAAATCTTACGAATTATCTTTTAATGTTTTGTCAAATAATCATTTTAGTTAGAAATCAAATTGATTGTACTTATAAATTTTAATACTTAAAAGAGTATTTAATTAACAATATGAAAATTAATTGTTTGATTAACGTACATTTGCTTAGTAACTGTTTACTATACTCGCTAAACGAGTTTAATCCGTTCCAAATTTTTTAGATTTTTACTCGTATAGTGAAACAGTTTTTCCCATATAAACTAATGTAAATTACGATGCCGGAGAAAAAAAAGTATAACTTGGTCTCGATTTTTAATAATTTTGCTTTTCATATTTTTTGGCTTTTTATTCGGAGACATGCATGTTTTATTAAATTTTAGACCAAAAAAATCATAAATAACATGTCTGAACACAAGTTTGCAAATTTTGTGATTACAAACAACACTAAGATGCAACTATAATGACTACTAACACTAGGAACTGTTTTCCTCGCTTGTTAACAGAGTCATTTTTAGTACAATTCATTCATGCAAGGTGCTCGTTAAGCGAGGTTCCACTGTATTTCAATGTTTTATTAATAATGATAATAATCATTTAATTATACATTGTACGCTTATGTATAAAATAATTTAAGTTTATCACTCGTCTTCCAATAATCGAATGAATTACAGGTGAGTTTC